TATACCCCCTGATGACGTCTTGCCATTTTGCATGTGTGTGTGGTAAAAGATATCTGGTGAGGAGGAGGAAAATGCAGGATAGTGGAAATTAAATTTGATGGCTTGCATAAGTAGAAGGGAGATGAACAAAGTTTTTAAAAAAGAGTGGAGAGAGGGAGACATGTGTGACCTCAGTGTGTGTTTTTATCTGGCAGGTTAGAGACAGGGCAAAGGCATTTATATAGCCATCCAACAGCCAGAGTTGGGTTCCAGACATATGACAGCTCAGTTCTCATGTTCAGCTTGATTTCTTGTTCTGCTGACAGCAGAATCCCAACCTGACCGTTTTCCCATTTTCCTCTAAATTTGTTTTCATGACTGTTCCCCATGTGTACCACCCTCCCTATCACTGCCAACTCCCTCTGTTGGCCAACCTTAAATGTGTTTTAGCCAATTACTACAAATCGAATTATATTTCATTACTGCGGATAATTTTCCAAATATGTATTGAAAATGGCTCTCTTCTGGGACCTTGCCTTTCCACGTGCCTACATGGAAAACCTTGAGGCAGGGAGAGCACACCTCCCTGGAGCAAATACATGTTTTGTAATTTGGGTAAACTGACCCTTTAAGCTATACATTGAACCAAATTCTCTACAGTTGATATGTTGGGAGGCTATACTTTGTTTAATCCTGAACAGTAAAACCCTGTTTGTCTGTTTTCCCTAATCACAAACTGCCACACCATGTCCCCTTGTGAATACACACACACACCTACACACGACCTACACACACCTACGGTAATGTCCTGCAGGTGTACACAATGCCATCCTCTCTGGGAAAACGAGTGAGTGTGTGTGTGTGTGTGTGTGTGTGTGTGTGTGTGTGTGGGGGGGGGTGGGGGGGGTGCAAGACCTACACAATGCCATGTTCACTCCTGTGAGGGTGACTGATGCAGGCTCGTTTTACCTCTCTGTTCATGGGGACAAAGAAGTCTTTTGTGGGCCAAAGCCCCCCTTAACACCCCTCAACCTCTGAGTCTTTACCCCCCTTACAGCAACACAAGGGAGGCACTGACAGCAGATTATATGGGTGGGCTTGGCACCAAGAAAAACATCTTTTATGCAAAAAATGGCTACACTGCTCTGAACAGAAGGGGGGTACTTTTTATGAACAGGACTCAAATACCATGTGAGCACTGGCCTGAGACTCCACTGCCTCATTGTTTAAGACTGTATATTGTACAAGAGGTTGGTTTTAATGGAGAGTTTATAAATCTGTGAACATTTATTGTAACTTACTGTATATATTAATTTGGAATAAAAATCAAACTAATAAAACATGCCTACAGGCTGAACACCACAGTGTGAATCAGGGGTCAGACTTTGTTTTTTTGGCCCTTTTACATAGACCATAAATTTCATGGCAATTATGTGGCGTGTCATTTAAAAGCATCACTGGATGAGACAACACACGTACAAATACGTGTTGCCAATAGAAACGTATTTTAAGATACACCCATTTGTTAACATTCAGAGCTTACAGAAACCACAAGCACAAAGTGAAAAAAATACAAATCAACAACAACAACTACACTAATAGTAGTGACTGATACTAGCTGTCATTAAATCCTACACACTGGATATCTAAGCAGAGTAGATCCAGTGTTTAACTCTGTTAGCTTTCAACTCTTAGCTCTATTAGTTCCGTTAGCTGTAAAACACACACACACACACACACACACACACACACACACACACACACACACACACACAATATACAGAGGCAGGGTAGCATCTGGCTAAAGTGAGTAACAACATGAGAAGACAAGCTCCACAGTGGATGGGAATGCAGTTTGAAGTTTATTTATTTAAAAAAAAGACAATGTACATTAATTGCATGAACACGCGGAGAGGTCAACTATGTAAATGTGCCAGATTTAGCCATACAGCCTAATTTTCATCTGCAGTTCCTGGCAGGTTGATGGCATATATTATGAGGACATCAAGGTCAGACAGAGGGGCAACAACAACCATGGGCACTGGTGAAGTTCTTGACCTGGTTACATAGCAGCATATTGTAACAGCAATGGTGGTACACCTTATTTTCAGTCTCCGAGCAGTGAGTCTGAACTTGGAAAGATCGCTTTTAGTATGGCTGTTCCTGGAACAATTTACAACACACTGTAAAAATCCACAGTATAGTACCCATGGGGCACTTTAGGAACATGCTTTTAAAACATAATCATTTTAACTGAATGATGTCGATTTTCTCCTTATGTTTTAATTTGAATATTTACTTCATGATTGTATTTTATTTTCTGTTTATCATGTTTTTATATAAATGTATCAGTATCAGTATCATTCAGTATCTTGTATTATTTTATTTGAAATGAAAATGAGATCTTAATCTCAATGGATTTATCTGGTTAAATAAAAGTTAAATAAATAGATGGTTACAGATGTGCAAGGAACAGGTGCTGCACAGGTGCACATGTACCATAAAGGCAGTCACAGTAAGTAGTTTAACTATTTACATGATTAAACACTGGACCATCTGTCAAGTTCTCATCTCAAATTCTGAGATTTTAGCAATATCTGACTACAATGTTATCATAAATGATAAAACTCAAGTTGTTTTATATGTTATAGCTACTGTATTGCTGTAAGTTTTCCCTCTGTCAGGTTACAGACTGGATCACCAATGACAGTAGAACATAGTTTACCAGAGCCTTGACTATAGACGAGATTCCTCTAAGTAAACCAAGGATCACCTCTGACAGTGGGTCTGTATTGATCTTTCTCCTGCTCACTGAAACAAGTTAATCTACTTGCCCTGATAGGCATGGCTGATATCAGTGTGGCTCTTCTAAGATGGGGTGCTTGCATTTCCGGTATGTATTCCAACCTTCTCACATGCTGTCCTTTTGTGGTGCACAACCTTAATGGACTAAGCAAGGGTGGTACATGTAAATACTTTTGATGCTGCAGTTTCAACAATTTTGTTTTCACATTTTGACATGTCACGTTATATGTAGAGGGATGTTAAGGTATTATGGACCCGTAAGATAAAATATTACTGTTTAGAGAAATACTGAATCATTTACTTTGTTGACCTAAAACTAATAAAATTATCATATACTGTGTCTAAAGATGACTGGAATCAGCCGAAAAAATATACTCTACATGTAGGTTATAACTGTAGAATAATACCAACAAGGTTTCTCAGAAAAATTCTCAAAGAAATACTCACAGCACTTAAAAATGACATAAAAATTAACAACATCACTGTGGACAGTATTAAGTCATTATAAATTCCATAATAGTCCATGGTTTGGTAATTTTGTCTTGCTAGTGGTTTGTCCCTTTCACCCAATATCTGTGTGAAAAGGACAACTGGCCTACACTGAATTTGACTTTAAGTGTTATCCTGATATGATTATAGCCTATTTGCATGTGCAAACGTGAAGGTGAACGTAACACAGTTCAGAGTATCATTCAGTTATTAGTCACTACCGACAAATAAAAGGCTATTTCTGGGGAATGAGCCTGCAGGGAAACATCTATTTTCAAAATGTTTTACACTGACTATCATACAGAGGATTTATTCACTGGATGCCACAGACTGGAAAATACATCCAGGGCACTACAGTTTATGGACTAACCTCAACAGTCATTTAACATTTAAGGCAGGACAGTTAATAGTCTCTAAAATGCCAACAGGATAATATAATAACCAAGATTTCAAATGTAATATTCTTGGATTTTCCTGGTGGCTGACCATACAGCTATATGGGCCACCCTATCTCAGAGATAGACTCTCTGATGCAACACAGAAACCTCCTGGCAGCAAAACTATAACCTCTGTAACACATCCAACGACAGCAGAGCAGAGAAAAACATCTATGCACTAACAATTGGATAAATGAAACAAAATACATAGTAAGTTCAGCCTATTCCCTGTCTCGCCAAGTGTAAACAGCACCTCTGTGTTCTTGCGGACTTGAAACAGCATCAGTCAGGGCTCAAGTCACTGGCCACAGCCAAACAGAGTGACCACAACCTGACCTGAGACTGCTGTATACACACAAACCTGACAAGCCAGAAATGACAGACTGAGTCAGTTCTGTCAAAAACATGATCATGAAGCAACCCTTTGTGCTACACTGCAGCCTGTAGGCAGACAAAAGCAGTGTTGGGTAGTAATTGAATGCATGTAATCTGGATTACATAATCAGATTATAAAAATGTATTTGAAAAAGGTGTAATTAGATTATAGTTACATTCTCTTTGTTGATAACTTGATAACATTTTTGATCACATGTTTAAAACATGTCAATGTGCCCACTCTTTTTCCTTTTTCACAGCAGCCACTTTGACTGACTGAATGGAATGGAACATTAATCATTGGTAACACAGGTGTTTACCCTACTATTTCATGTCAAAATGGCTGCTGTGAAAAAGGTCTATTGGTTGAATTGAAGTCTGAAACAAGAATCATACCTATGAATATTATATTCCATTTCTGACAATAGATCATCCTAAATGTGACACACTGAACCTTTAACTAGACACACTAAGACTCAAAACACAATCCATGAGTAACTTGGGAAAAAATTGAAAAGGAGCAGCAGAATCTGTCAGTGCATGCCACAGCCTGGGGGGGGAACCTCACCAAGCTTCAAACTCAGACTCCTCCTTTTGGTTATAGTGCCTATGGCTCTCTCACATTACCACAACAGATAAATCCCAATATCTTATAGTATCATATAGTATATGACAAGTAGTCTTGCATTCTGAACTTTTATTGATCCTGTACAATTTGCTTTTGCACTACGGTGATAAATTATGGTCATGTCACTAAAGTATAGTTTAGATTTTGACAGAATTTCAGCTCAGCGGTTGACAGCCTAGAGCTCTCTCTCTTCACTCGTGCCCAATGTCTCTCGACATTCTCGCTGTGGCCGTTAAAGTGATTCAGCAGGAGGAGCCGAGAGAGCTACACACACACTGAGAGAGAGGGGGAGGGAGGGAGAGAGAGAGAGAGAGAGAGAGAGAGAGAGAGAGAGAGCGAGCGAGAGCGAGGACAGCGGACAGTACTGGGATAGCGAAGACAGTCGAGACTCGGACCGGGAGTGTATCGGGGGTTTTCCGGGGAGATGCTGTCCCCACCGAGGAGATGGATCAGAGAGCAGCCTCTGAGCTCTGTTACCTCGTAAGTCCACTCATGTTCCGCTCACTCTGTCGCTGTTCTCTAACTTAACATCCCTGTTACAGCCTCAGTAGCCCAGATGGAGGATATTGCAGATATAGGATATATCAAGTCATCACTTCTTAGAAAAAACCATCCTGACAGAGATACTGACAACCTGCTCTCATGTTCTCTACACTGAGCCAGCAGCTCTCCTCCTCGGAGTTCTCAGGGAACTGCTTTAGGTCCGAACTGAACTCATGTACCGTTCTCTGTATAATGGGTGCAACTGATAAAGGCTGCAAAAGAGCTTCTTGTATGTCTACTTTTTGCTGAAACACTAAAGATGAGTAGGACTGTTCCATAGAATCATTTGTCTATTTAAATCATAATTTTAAAGCAACGTTTTTTGAGAGTAAGGGGTTACCTAAAGGGAGAAACCTGTGTACACTTGGCCAACATCCATGTTAAATTGATGCTCTTAATAGAATAACATAGCAGTGTGTATTTTCACCTTAAGTCATTTTCATATACAGAGTTGAACCACTTTGAGTTGGAACTGCATGTGGAATCAGATCTTTTTTTCTCCTGGTCCTGGTATTAAAGCTGCAGTAGATAACTTAAAAAAATAACCTTTACTCATATAACTTTCACTATATCCAGTAGTACATGAGGCAGATAACAGCCGAAAAAGATAGAAAGACACTTTAGGCTGGGGGCTTGATAGATAGTTGATTGTTGAGTCTTATTTCCAGCATTGGTATTTGATGACCTGGGAATGAGACTCAATAATCAGCCTTTTTTCTCAGCTCTAATTGTTGTCCTTCAGGCCCGGTAAATCCTTCAAATGCCGTTAGGAGAACTAAGAGGATCTCAACATACCTCTTTTGATACAATGTACAGAGATAACATTTGTATAAAAAATACATAAAACATTTGTTTGTATAAAATAAGCATGATATAATACATTATATTAAAAATCCCAATTAAAAGTATATAATACTAATACCGGATAGAACTTCCAGGTCTGTGAAGTAAAGCCAATAAGGAACATTTCTTAAACCTATATTTTTTCTCATGGCCAGAAGGGGGCAACTCCATTGGCTACAAGAAAACAATATTGTAGTATTGAATCTTATGGAGAAATTAGCCTACCTCTCACTTGATTTATTAGCTCACTAAACAGTTTCCTAATTATTGAGTTTATGGTCTCAGTCTTTAGTTTCAGTCTTCTTCCAGACAGCATGATGTTCATTTAGTAAATTATGATCCCATTTAGAGTAAATCCTACTATAAATGAGGGGAATGCTTTAGGGTGGGGATTGTGATTGACAAGTCATTCTCAGTGAGTCTGTCCAGCTCAAACTCAGATCAAACTGTCAAACTAGGCAGTGCTGATCAAATATGAATCCAGATAAATGCTTTGTTTAGAATAGAATAGAATAAACTTTATTGTCCCCGAGGGGAAATTTGTCTTGGGCACAGTGTTACAATTTGTTGCTTCACAAAAACAAACATACCTCAACAACAGACACAATAACCATTACAAAATCAACATGAAACATCTTAAAACATGAAAGACACTATACATTTTAACACTGGCAATATGGCAGCTTAAAAAGAGACTGTAAGAAACCAGAATTACTAACTAAGATTTAAAGTGTACGGTGCTAGTGTGTTTATTATCAGTGCTGGGCAAGTTACTTTTAAAAAGTAATTAGTTACAGTTACTAGTTACTTCTTCCAAAAAGTAACTAAATTAGTTACTCAGTTACAAATTATAAAAGTAACTAGTTACTTCAGAAAGTAACTATTGCGTTACTTTCAAGTACATTTTTAAATGCTCAAATGTGACCCCACCTCCACCCCTCTTTAACAGAACTTAAAATACATGTGCATGTTCAATTATTTATGATAAATCTGAATATTATAATGAAATGGACACTTAATACAATACATTATTAACAGAAACAATGTACACAAATCTAAACTATTTTAATGTTGCTGTGGGACAAAGTGAGACTAGCCTCCAATCAAATGCATTGTATGTAGATATTATGTTTATATAGTGGATTGATTCAAATAACACAAAAGATGTTTTGGAACTTTTGATATTTATTGCCCCTCAACAGGCCACAACTGGGCAAAATTAAATTATGCTTGTTAAGCACTATACCAAAAACAAATAACAAATATATACACTCTTTGTAGTACAAATAAAACAAAAAAAAACTTCAGATAATTGGTAGATATACTGTACAATGTATAGCAAAACTAAGGAATCCAAATATAAACAGGTAATACATAAGAAATAAAAAAATACATCTCCATAAAAATAAATCTCTTTCTCTGGCCATTGACGATCTCACTTTAAGAGGCTGCAGCCAGCCAACAAATAAATCTAAATTAAATGATGCTCTTTAAGCAATGTACCAAAAATGTATTCAAACAATATATACACTCATTTTAGTGCAAATGTACTAAGATGCAACACAACTGGCCATACCTGTCTCTCGTTGACTGACTCGCTTGTGTTGTTGGTTGTGTGTCCGACTATGCGCTCTTTCGAACACCCGCCCAACTCTACCTCTGATTGGCTTACCATGAAATTTTACTCAACCTCAGCCAATTGTCAGCATTTATGCGCTTGTCTCGTGCACTGCCCACTAACCAAGGAAGAACAGTAAAAAAAGTCTTTGCCTCTCGGCTCAGAGATCAAGTTGGTCTGATGAAAAAAACAGCTTCAATTATAGTAACGCGCCGCATTTTTTGGCAGTAACGGTAACGGCGTTATTAAGATGGGAATAGTAATCAATTAGATTACTCATTACTGAAAAAAGTAAAGCCGTTAGTAGCGCCGTTATTTATAACACTGTTATTTATAACACTGTTATTCCCATCACTGTTTATTACACATTGCCCTATGATTTAGTATTAGAGTTGAGCAGCTTGATAGAAGTCGGAACGAAAAATAACTGTTTTTAAATGTATCAGGTTCTACTAATCCCAAACAGCTAGGAGAAATTAAAAATGCACACCAAACAAAAGCTCGGGTCTCAGGAGGTTAAAGATCCATTTAGGAGGCTCTACATTATTAGTAATGACAACTGGTTTGGTTTTAAACAAACATAAACATGGCACTGAACTGCATAACAGCTGCAATACCGTAGTTTCTTCTGCTTGGAAGGGGAAGGTGAAGCGAAAGAGTTGCTATCTGAAACTACACCACTAGATGCCACTAAATCCTACACACTGGACCTTTAAATCTGATAAAATTATCCTCACATCTGTTTGTCTGACTGTCCTCCAGTCCATTTCAGATCAGGATTTTGGATTAGGTCCCAAATGAATGGACCGAATGGACCTCTGAAGATCTCTAGCATAAACCCAGTCTGAGCTGCAGTGTATCACCTCACTCACTGCCTTGGTTTTTAAAGTATTTTGTTTCCCTGACAATACATTCCAATCCAAATCAATCAATTTAGAAGATTTCTTGGGTCAGTGCAGGCAGCTTTAAGGTGCACATATTCTTCTTCTACTCAAATGTTCTCATGTATTCTTAGCTTTCTTGGTGTAGGATTAAAATAGCACAGTAAAACAGTACAGTTTTAAATTAAATTCTTTAAAGGAAAGCCTTAAAAGCCTTTCAATCCAACATGAACTTGTTATGTGAACAGCCCCAGATCAAAAGGCCAAATCAGCGTCTGCTGGCCAATGTCAGTCAGAGCTGATATCCTATCACAGGTTTCAGCTAGTGTGAAATGTTAGCTTATCAGCATCAGATTACAGTCTGCTGATTGGACCTGATAAATGTAACAGTATTCCAGGTTGTGTGGATGTGGGATGTTGTTGTTACCTTCATGTCAAGTCTGAGGTCAGACAAGGCTGCAGGCCTGACCTAAAAAGTTTGTTTTGCAGCATGTCAAAGGCAGAACAGACATTTCAGGTCTCTTCCATGTCATACGACACTGACTGCTAATATGACACTCAGGACTGGACTGCCCACTGATGTTGTTTTCACATTTAAATTGGCTTGTTAATTGCAGCAAAGACATTATGTACACATATGGGCGGCTGTGGCTCAGAGGCAGAGCGAGTTGTTCCTTAATCGGAAGGTTGTGGATTCGATCCCCGGCTCCTGGTGCCACATGTCAAAGTATCCTTGAGCAAGTGCTGAACCCCAAATTGCTCTCGATGCCGTGCATCGGTGTGTGAATGTGTATGAATGTTAGTTTCTGTTTGATGGACTTTGCCATCACTGAGTGAATGTGTGTGAAAGGGTGAATGTCTCACGTAGGGTAAAAGCGCTTTGAGTGGTCAGAAGACTAGAAAGGCGCTATACAAGTACAGGTCCATCTAGCATATATATGTACATCAGTGCTGTCGTGTCAGTTCAGTCTTTAGCCACACTAATGGCATGGCCATTGGGATCATAGCTGCCATTTAGACGCTGGAGATATGTCCTCGTGTCTTTTTGAAAGCATAATGATAAACTGATCATCTTATTTGCTGGATTTTACAATATATAATATGTCAGGGACAGTACAGTGCTGCTTGCTAAACAAATAATACTTGTTTAACAATTATATTTATATATTTAAACGCATATGTATTGGCGTGGTACTCGGTATCGGTCAATACGCAAAGCTCAGGTATCTGTATCGACAAGAAAAAGATGGTATTGGAACATCTCTAGTACTTTTCTATGATTGATTATCATGTGGCAGCCCCTAGTGGAGGAGATTGATAGGAGTGTTTTTTGAGTTTAATTGCATGGAATTTTTTTAATAATTATTAAAATGATTACAAAATCAATTAATTGCATCTGTTTTAAAATGAATATGGATAAAGAAAAAGAAATAATCTAATCCCTGCTCCAGTTTAGTTCATGTTCTCATATATTGATATTTAAACCTCATCCCTTGAATGAGTCATGGTTGGTTGAACTCTTGTGGACTCTTTAATGTTAAAAAAGCACAACAAGGCAGTTAAACTTAACATCTAAAGGCCATGTTGATTTTTAT